TACTAGTCCTATAGAGGTTTCAACCTCATAACAATCGCAAGTGAGGCATAACTCACCCTGTGGAAGCTGTGGACGCTGGGTGAGTGCCTTCACTTCCTTTTTGCAACTGTCCAGGTCTGTCCTCAGAACCTCGATGGTTTGTCGTCCCTTTATCACCTGCATGGTGTCGAACTTCTCCAGCGCTTTCATTTCTGTTTTCATGATCTCCAGCTGAGAGAAAGAAGACATTCAAATGTGGAGCAAAACAAAGAAAAATGTATTTCTTAACATGGCTTGATACTCCACAAATCAACAAAAGGGCACTTAAAACAATGTATATATAAATAAATGTCACTGTTCTGTTAACACCATCTATAATATAGAATAGTGAAAACACAATAGTAGATGTACACTGTCAGTGTTTTGCAGCATGTGGACATGAATGTACCTGGCGAGTGGCGCTAGCAGCGAGGATCTGGTGTTCCTGGGTGGTGCTGTCGAGCTTGTCAATCAGCTGCTTGATCTCATTCATTTCATTCTCTATAAGATACAGGCTGAGAACTCCATACAGCCCTCTGTCATCCTCCTTTTCCAGGATCAGCACATCATTGCTCAGCTGGGTAAGACGTTGCTCCAACCCCTGCAGTAGACTCTTCAGCTCCACAGACTGCAGAGACAGCAGTGGTTAAACAAACAAACAGAATGACACTATGAGTCGCAGGGTAACTTACCTTCTGTGGGATGATGTTGCTTTTGCAGTCTGATGTACTGCTTTCAACTTTTCTGAGTTTTTCATGGGGGAATATTCTCTCTGAGTTATTCAGCTCGCATGTACACTCCGTATGCTCCTGAAAATGTAAGGGTGGTGTTTTATGAATTGTACTAAAGTTTTAAAAAGATTTCTATGTGACCTGAGGCTTCAGTGTTTCTTACCTGCTTGGTGACGGTGAGCAGAGCACACAGTGGAATGATCACATACAGCCTCATGTTGGACCAGAGAGAAAATTGTGTGTCTGACTGAAGCAGCAACATCAAACTTGTGAGGAATCGTGCGAACGTCTAGAGAAGAAATAAAAAATGTTGACAATCACAGACACCGAACGAAAGCGAGAGAAAGCACGACACGAAGAGTGAAAGAGAACAACTTAAACAAGAAACAATAACCACAAAGAGGAAAAAAGAAAAACGCACTGTTACTACAGATACTGCAACACAGTGGAATAAAAGCAACAATAAAAAAAATGCAGAAAACTATTACA